ACCATACTGTTCACGACATGGCTGCGGCGGCAACAACAATACTACAGCGAGAATAAAAGTTACGCCTTCTTTCTTTGCGTGAACATTTGGGCGGTGTTATGCAAATCTTCCCACATAGTGATGTAGATATGTGGGGGTGTGTTAGAACGAGCCGTTTTAGGTAGGTGTGGTTGACTCTTAACTTTTATAAAGAATATCTCTTTTGATTTGAGACTTTAGTCTTTGCAACTTTACAGATCTTCTTTATGCACCAAGAGCTTGTAACACTCCAAAGAGAAAGGAAAAATTGAAATCATATGACATCGTATGACCCCTTTAATAGTTTAATTATCATCTGTGGGGGAGATACTTTATGCAAGCTAAGCTTAAGTAACAAAGGAATCTACAGTTTCTTCAAAAAGTATTTGGACTTTTAAGTAAAGAGAATGTAGGCATGTCATTGCATTTAATATAAGATATCAAATAAGCAGCATTTAGAAAGCTTTTGAGGTGAATTGGAGGGAAAAAGACTTCATACTTCCACTAAAAATCCCCTTGGGTTAAAAAAAAACCGTGTACGATTTGATTCTAATGTGTTAAAATAATACATTAATTTAAGTGTTGTTTTAAGTCATCATGTAATCAAAATTGACATTTTTTATGGAATATTGCAGTTTATCCGTGCACATAATTTTTTTTTTTTTCAATTCATGTGCCCTCATAGTCTTTAATCAAAAACATTAACCCCAACAACATTGATCCAAAGATCCAATAATTCAAGTCCCGTCCTACATTTTTTTTTCTCATTCCAGAAGCCGCTGCACTTTGATATGTCAAAATAGAGCAGAAAAGATTATCACAATTTCCGCTTCATAGATGCTCTTCAATAGTATTGTGGGAACTGATACTGGTTCTTCAGAGGATCAATTAGTTTTAAATGATAAATAAAATAAGTTGTAATATCTTCAGCCTTTATTGTAAGCTGTTGTGTTTTTTGTAAGGTGATTTATTGGGCACAGCAAGCGTTCTTGCACATGCCCAGATAAAAGCTTGTTAAACAGCGCCACCTTGTGATAGATTTTAAAGGTGCTCCTATAGAATATCCTTTGAGAAAATGTGTTAACTAATTTGGATATAAATGGAAAAATAATACTTCATATAAGGATGGAAATAATTATAATAATTTTATAATAACTATAATTTATGCATTTAGCAGACACTTTTATCCAAAGCGACTTACAGTGCATTCAGCCTATACCTTTTTTTTACCAGTATGTGTGTTCTCTGGGAATCGAACCCACGACCTTTTGCGCCGCTAACACAATGCTCTACCACTGAGCCACAGGAAATAATAATAAATTAATAATTTGCATCAGTAATTCAGAATTTAGTCACCACTGGAAACAGGAAAGCTTTGTGTGAGTCCTTATGCGAAAATCGGAGAAGACAAACTGCTCGAATGAGGGAAAGAACTACAGTCCCATGAAGCATTGTGAATTACATACTCGGAAAAGAGCTCTTATTGTTGGAGATTTGTAATGGTAATGGTAATGTATTTTTTCTCTAGGAACCCTGCTGTTAAAAAAGTTGAAATAATGTGGGCTGGTGGCTTCAACAAAAGCATATACTATTGATTAACAACCCTAGTGCTTATAGTAGGTCTGTCTTTAAAGGTTTACAAGTTTATAAGGTTATACATGGTTATTGTATAGTCAAAAATAAATTCCTATAAAGAAATGATTGGTATTTTAACTCTAGAACCTGACTGTTGCAATCTGTAATGAACACAGCACATGATGTGATGTCCAAATTTGAGAGAAAAAAGACTGGTATGCTGTGTGTGTGTGTGTGTGTGTGTGTGTGTGTGTGTGTGTTTGTCAGTCAAAAAGATTCACGAAACAGCCTTGAGCTCCCTCTTGAGGTAGCATTTTGAATCAATGAATTGCTCAGAACAGGGTTCACAACAAGTCCCTCACTGAACCAGAGTCATGTTTGATTAAAAATGAACCATGAACCATTACTGTGAAGTATTCTTTAGGTCCGACACACTTATTAGTAGTATTACACATCCTTGCATTTTAGAAAATGAACTTATCAAAATAACATAAGCAGTCAAATGTCAGGAGTTTCAATGACAAAAAGAAGTATACAAAATGTATAATTGAACTTACAATATTCTAGGGAGTGGGAAAGTATGTTCAAAGAAAGTAGCCTATGTCAAAGAACATTGATTGATAAATAAATAAATGTGTGTGTGTGTGTGTGTGTGTATAAATATATGCTTTTTCCCACAAAATCTGTAATTTTCTATTACTGATTTGATGTAGTAAAACACCCCCAGATTTAGTAGAAAGCGTCAGGGTAATGTTTGCTTTTTATTCTGTCACTGCTTATAACGCTAACCTTGAAATCAGGATTAGGCATAAAATAATGTCTTCAGAATCTAAGTTATAATGAAATTATTCTTTCTCATTGTACGACCACAAAAAACACCAAATATAAAGGCTGGTTTCCATGTTGTTGTACTGTTGATTCCTTTCTAACCAACGGCGCTGCCATATTTGTCCGGGCAACTTGCAGTAACTCTCATAAGTGGACTGAAGAAAAGATCTCTGATTCCCTGACTATTTTGAGGTTTTACAAATCGTCGTAAAATCCAAATTATTTCTCGGGATATTACCTTTCGCATGTAAGTCTGAATAGTTGTTTTTGGTTTTATTTTGTCATTATAACATTGTTGACATTAGTTAGCCACCAAAGTCAGACTAACAGCTAACGATAAAGGCTATGTAAACTGAGACTTTATAAGAAATAATATAAAGTTTACATGATTCTTATTAAGTCCGAGCTTATTCTATAGTTTATGAGCTAATCTAAATCGCAAGTGAGTCTTCCGTGCAATGCAGTGAGCCAGAGGATTGGCAGGACAGATCAGGCTGTCAGAATTACAGACTCATCTCCGAAGAGCAGCTGATTAGATTGCTTATATAATCGTGGCTCATTTATGTTTTGCCCATCTTAGCCAGTAGAACCAGGACAACACAAACCTCAAGGAAGGCTGAAGAAAGCCTATCATGGACTGTTTTCTGCATTTCCAAGAGACTGCAACTCTTCTGCGTATTATATTATATGATATACGTATGATTATACGACTTATACTAGGCCTATTATATGATTGTACTATTCACTACTCGCTATTTTATTTAGTATTTTTATTTTATTATTTTAATTTATTTATGTATGTGTGTGTGTGTATACAATTTGCTATTTTATTCATAGTTATATTACTACTATTTTATACTCACACTCACTTTTATTTTTAGGCTATTCATAATAATAATAATAATATTCTATAGAATAAAACTGCCATATACTGTATATTGAACTATAATATCTAACCTTTAACCTTATAGTATACTTATATTTAAATTCATAAATTTAAACTTTACTCTAGTTGTGTTGTAAATGTTTTACCGCTGTAACGTAATTGTTTACTGGATCCATTAAGGATGATTCTATAGTGGTTCAATCTTTGATATTAACGTTGCCCACTAGAGGGAGCCACAGGATAAGGAATATTTCAAGCCCAATCATTTTTCTATCCGTTTCCATCCATTTGAATTGAAATAAATGCATTTGGTTCATTTGTATAACTATGGTGTACTGACAGTAAATCTGTGAAATTCGTATAGATGTTTATAGATCAGTAAATGTCTTTTAGACCTCAGTAAAACACATTTTCAAGTTGCCGGACACAATTATTTATATTTTTGTAATTTAATTAAATTATTTTTTAAATGAATATTTTATGTATTTTTTACTATAATAAAACATTTCTATAAAGACATTTATTGTTGTGTTATGAATAATAAAACAAATACTATACAAACATTAGGCTATAAGCATAAGGTTAGGAGGCAACATATAGAAATAAATTGTAAAAATGAAAAGGTAAAGATAAATGCTTCAGCAAATTATCTTCACATTCATCTGAAATTGTCCTGTGGCATATCCTATGACGTGATTTAAAAAAAGCTAAAATGAAGGTGTTGAAGAAAGAAAAAGCCATTTCCACAATGTAAAACGTGCACATTTCATCTACATTACATTATATTACATTAAGGAGGTCTCCACAATTATTAACCAAGAAAAATAAAACATATCTATTCTTGACAAGCGTGATTCTTCACAATTCCTTATGACAATGAATACTAGTAAATAATAGTTCTAACTAGCGAGATTCTGAGTAATTAGAAACAGAAACTTTTTCGTATTCCATGCAGATCATAAACTGTTGAAATCGGTTGATAAATTTAAACTTTACTCCACTTTTTGTCCAGAAAAGCCGCAGCTCCCCGTTTACTTGTATTTGTTTACAGAGAAGTCTTGCCCGGACCAATATGGCGTACCTTCAACAGTGAGCGATAAGAGGCTTCTTGAAAACAGTATCGCTAAGTGAAAGATTCTGAGGTAAACTGGCACCCGACATCACCTATATAGGGGCTGAGCCCGCCAATCAGGTGAATGCTCGAATGCCATTGGCTATTGCGGAGCAATAGAGTGATTCAATCAGGGGCAAGTTCAAGCTCAAACCGGTGTGCATCGTTTTGCTACGGTTTCCGGTTTGAACGACATGTTTCCTGGAAACGGTGTGCAACGGTGTGCAACGGGGTTTGAGATGCGTTTTCTCTTGTTTGGTGGGTGTGTCAAACATGTCAGCCCAATCAGCAGCAACGTGTATGTAAACCACGCGGTATTAAAGCGACAGCTCGCACAATGTAATTAACGTCCAAATAAATTCACAAGAGCAAGAATATTGTTTGCACATGATTATTTACATTAAAGGCAGAATAACTGAAATAATAAGGGCACAAGTATAGATCTGGAACTTCTTTAAGTCTGTCTAAATATAATTTAGTAATTGCAATGTGTTCTGCAACTGAAAAGTAAATTTTACAATGTCATCATTACTAATACTTGTCCTGGTGTAGATCAAGTCTCATTTGGAGTCACAAATAATGTCACTTACATTTGCCCTCCTTGTTCCTACAGATGAATTTGTCAGGGTCAGATTTGTTGATGACATCCACAGTCTCCCCAGCTTGTACAGTCAGGTCTTTCCCACTTCCCTTCTTACTTGTGGCAATTGTTGCTTGATGAAGCACCTGAATCTCACCATCGTACTGGTAAAGTAAATACCAACTCGTTTGCTTATAAATTCAATCAAGAAAGCACTCTGTGTTTACAGGTCACTCAGCATTGCGTTTTAATTGACCATAATGTAATCCAATAATTTCATACGCACCTTAAACTTCTTTCTAAATTCCTTTTCTTCTTTCTCAAACTTCTTTTGCTTTTTTGGGTCCTCATGCACTTTGATCGCCTTAGATTTTAATTGAGGAAGGCTGCGACAATGAAATATCATTATCATCAAGACAGGCTGATTTAAATGTGCTAATGTAGAGTAGTACATTTTAAGAGTTTAATTCTTTATATTGCATCATCTTATCTTACAACATTAATGGAAAAGCACTTAAGGTAACATCTGTTTACCTGCTAGGTGATGGAGCGGGAGGGAATGAATCAACATCATCATATATATCTTGAGAAACGTCTGTGTTGTAAAGACATTTGAAGACAAAAGAATTCACAGTGGGTTCATTTGAAGGCGTGATATAGGAATACATTTTTTTTTATTATTATTTTTACCGCTATTACCTTCAGGTGTAAATTGTGGAGGGGGAGGAATGCTGAAACAGATTGTTAAAAGTATATAAATATTTGATAATTGTACGGGCAAAAGAAACTCAACTGATTTAATTTAGAATTAAATCTTAAAGAAGGCAAAATCAAGGGAGGTGGAAGTCTTGGCAAAAGGACACAGAATCAACCACATCTAGTAATGTTAGAAAAGATTAGAAAAGCATTCATAACAGGAGGCTCAGAAGAATTTCCTTGAAGGAGTTATTTGGCATTTTCACACAGATCGGATTGATTGTGAAACGAACGGTTAATCAATTTTCTTTGTTGTTTAATTTAGAATTAAATCTTAAAGAAGGCAAAATCAAGGGAGGTGGAAGTCTTATTTGGCATTTTCACACAGATCGGATTGATTGTGAAACGAACGGTTAATCAATTTTCTTTGTTAGAACAAATGGATGCAGTTGTAAGTGCAATTGTGATTGGAAATTGAAAAGTAACATTGTCTGATTCCATCTTACTAATGTAAAAATTACTCATTATTGTGGACTTGGCTTTTTCTCCTGTCAACCGAGCTTTTGAGAATGTCCAAGAAGTTGCGCGGTATAAAGAGAGACCTGGGATCTCCAATGCTATGGATTCAGAGGAACGTGGTTTGGGTGAGACAGATCCATAATACAAGTGGCCAAACAACAAACCCAGAAATACAGGCACACACATACAGTATAATGCATATAGTTTGCAAACCTTATATATCATATTATATTATTTGTTCTTACCTGATTGGATTAAGATTGGGTTCGGGTATATCATCATACACATCATCATCTGGCGGTGGAGGTAAAACAACTATAAACAGCAGAGGGCAGACTTGTTCAAGCATCACCTCTCAAAATTAAACTATCACATTTACAGCTACTACATAATACTTTTTGACATGCAAATCCAGAATATTTGATTTCTGTTCTTATTTTTATAATTGCTTTTTGTTGGAATATATTCATGTCTCGCTTCCCTGTTTCTGTATGTTTCTACAAGGTTTGTAATAATAAAAAAAAATATATATATATATAATTTTTTTTTTACAGCTACTACTTAAAGTATTAAACTTAAACCTTACAGTCAATTAGTTGAAAAAAGGATTAGTTATATTAAAACTTACCCCGCTGCCCATTCATATTCCTGAAAGATTAAAGAAAAATATGAATTCTCACTTAAATGCGAACAGCAGTATTTGCTGTGCAACTTCTAATGAAACTTTCCTGGCTATTTCTAGACTTGACTAGAGACTAGAAAAGTGCTTAAAGTAGCATCCAGATCAAATCTGCCTTTTCACATTATTAGGGAAAATCTTTGTAATTCTGCAGAATCAATTCAAATGTGTTGAAATGAACTTTTGTTTGGAAGTGTTACAGGCTCTTACCCTTGATCTTCCAGAGATTCTACGTCATCGTACACCTCCTCACTTTCCAAGTTATGAGGAAGAGACAGGCCTTTATTCTTCAAGACGCTGAAGTCGATCTCAACCATTTCCGTTTTAACATAGCCAACTGAAACATAGAGAAATGACTGCAACTTCATCTTTTCTCAGGGGATCAGTGACCAGTTCACATCAAACTTTTTTTTTTTTTTTTTACGGTGTGAACTCTTACATGATCCATCTTGACCTCGGCCCAACCATTTACCCTCTGGATTGTCAGTGATTCGAATGATATCAATTGACTCGCCCTTCTTTATGGAGAGGTCATGTTTTCCACCCTTGCAGTCAGCTTTAGCTTTTACCTGATGAATAACCTGCAGGGGCGTTGATATCTGAGGAAAGAACAAACATAATAATCACCATTATCCAGTAAGTAAACCTTGATAACTGGTTGTAAGTGTAAGTGCTAAATGTTTTTTTATTAAAATTTTTTTTTACTTACTTTAAACTTCTTAATTGCATCTTTCTCTTTTTTCTCACGGTCTTTCTGAATTTTAAGTTCTTTGTCTTGCTTTTTCTGAGGTTGACTTAGCTCTGCAGCAGATCTGTGGTAAAGCAGACCATAAATCATTTATTAACCCAAAACACAAGTAAACACTGCAGAACATGAAATTAATCATTTGATTATTGGCACCAAAAACTGTTTGTATCACTCTGTTCCAGGTGGGTGAGGTGACCGCTATATCTCACCGACAGCGTCAGCATTAATAGAACTTAAAATCTTACCTACTATCATCAAGATCCTCATATATCTCACCATCACTTCCACTTCCCTAAAAGAGATGAGACATGAGACAGTGCACCACAAAAGAAGTTTCTGTATGCCTTCACTAAGTTTCTTACCTCATTTATCTGGCCTGTAATGAGAAAATGTGAGAAAAAAAAGTTTTTAGAATTGGATTTCATAAACTATGGAGTTCCTATCTATTTTAAATTTGGAAATTAAATTAGATGTAATTATTAATTTGTTACTTAAGATTATAAGTTATTTAAGCTGAAGCTACATATATACATATATATACTTTTATTCAGCAAGGATGCATTAAATTGATCAAAAGTCAAAGTAAATAATGTTACAGAGGTTCACTATTTCAATTTCTGTTGTTTTGAACTTTCTGTTTATTAAAAAATCTTGGAAAAAAGTAGCACTTTTTTGACAAAAATATTAAGCAGTACAACTGTTTTCAGCTTTGATAAAAATTTATAAGAAGTATTTCTTGAGCAGCAAATCCCTATATTAGAATGATTTCTGAAGGAACTTGTGACACTGAAGACTGAAGTAATGGCTGCT